ACTTTTTTGATGGAGTTTTGTCCTCTGAGCTGGATGGTTTGCTCGTAGAGCTTACATCGTTCTTCTGAACAACATCATCAGCACAAACTTCTACCTGAGATACAAATCTTCTCCACCATCTCAAAATATACATACCACACTAACTATACTCTACAAGATACTTCTTGAAAGGCATATTCCTTTCTTCAAATTATCTAACGATATTGTTATGACTCCAATGTTTTAATTAATAAGTGAAAAGTGTTTCCTCATCTCATTGATATTGTTATCATGTATCATCTCTAAGAAGTGTTCATTATACCTTATCATCAAATCCAACTTTATTTCTTTTATATGACAATAAAGACATAGACAAAATACGAATTGACGCAAAAATACGAAAGACAAAAATAATAGATGAAAATGTCTTTATATGTAAACACCTTATTTCAACATCATATCTCAAAGCAATCATTGATACATAGATTTTCTTTCCAGTAATTATTAAGTTAGTAATTATAGGTTAAATGAATAATATACTAAAGAAAATATCATATTGAGTAAGTTGAGCATTGAAATTTTCACAATACTACTAAATATTGAATGAGCATTATAGGTAGATAGAATCTTCCCGACCTCTGTTGCTACCTTGACGTGGTGTCCGGGCTTGCCTATCGTGATGAAGCAACCAAGCTATACTGGCTGGAACAATCGTTCCTCAAGGTCCTACCACGTCAGACAGGTCGGTTGAAGAGCGGTAAGACTAGAAGCAACGAACCCAAGGTTCGAAGGCGAAGTCGTACTGCTGACTATACAGAGGTGTGACGGCAGTAAGGTATTTCCTTCAGACAACCAGCATGACAGCGATGCTGCCTTCCCACAAGGAGGGGCAGAGTTAGAAAAGGTCGACCCTAAAAATGCACACCTCGCCTTATCCCACGGATATCCATCTCCGGCAGTAAGGTCTCAACAAGTACGAAGCTAACACCATCGGAATTCTAAATGATGGAAAATACAAACAAAAGCACTGTAGTTATTGATTGGTTTCCTACTTATCGATTTTTTTTAGATAAGATAGTATGATTACATCAGAATCTATATATATTCAAAATGTGAATGGTTACAGTAAACGAAGTGATAGATAACTTGAACCGTTGAATATGATGACAGATACTGATTATTATTGTTATTATACTTAATAGAAAGTTGAACCTAATCAGTTTTCACTGTACCGCATCACTATCCAATGTTTCCATTTTAAAACAAAAAAGCATTTTAGTAGTAGTGGAATCTTTTTGACTGTCGGATTTTTATCTCGAATAAATGTATATTAATTACTAGTTAATTGTAAATAACAGGTTTCCAATATAAAACGTATAGTGAAAAGTAAGTTGTTTAGAAGTTGTCGTTAGGAGACCTCATCTAACTCAGGTTTTGTGCTATTTAAAGCACTTATTGACAGTAATGACAGACCTGATGCTCCTCATATAACTATAGCACAAAAGAAGCAGGTTGAAGTTCCGAGAGAAAAGTCGTATTGCCAACGGTCTTTTTTATTGATTTATTTGACTAGCCTAAAATCTGGTACAACTAGGCATCAAAAGTGGTATGCGTTGCTGAGATACTGCCGGAGTGCCCAAACATAAGCATGTGGTTTTTCTGTACAGCCGATTCCTAATCATTTAACCTAAAGTTTTAATCCACGAAACAGTAGAACAACATCAGATAGCAGTCCACGATTAAAGATAAGAGTCATATACTATTCATTCCCAAGAGATCCTACACCCATGTACATCAGTGATTTGAAATAAAATTAACCAATCTTCTTAAGTGTACCCTCTCTATGAAACCGCTAGGAATAACTTTAAAATATTTGTGCTACTCACTACTGGTCAACGAGTGCATTTCCAATGAAAATCAAGAATCTTTTACAGATGTGAAACTTGAATGTGACAAGCATTTCGAATTTCCCAAGTCTTATAATTAGTTTTCCTATCATGTAATTTAAGGATCCTTCATACAAAAATTATTTATTTGAGTAAAGATAGGTTTGTTCTCATATTCTTTGTATAAGATTTTAGTTGGGTACAATGCTTAAATCCCTAGATAACATATCTGTAACTATGCAAATACTGTTAAAACATTTTGCAGCATTAAATTGGTTTAAGCGAGGTAAATCTGTATGAAAATTCGGAAATATATATATATGTGGTTTTGTAAAAGATTCATTGCTTGTCATGATGCTGAATACTCAAAGATGTAAGCAGAAACAGTTTAGTGGCTGTAAAACGTTCTTTCTAGGCTATTGTTTGGAGAAACGAGGGAATACACCGAAATTTATGTATTAAATACATAGATTATTCCGTGTGGAAGTGATCGAAAACTTTTTCCCAGTTGAAAATGGATAACCAGTGTTGTAATGTTTTAGATATATATTTAAAAGATAGATGGTGGCTAACAGTAGAATCCAGGACGCGCATTTCTAGTGACAAAATTCCTTGTTTTCAATTTATTACAATTCCACTAATTGTATCTGATAATCGTATTAATTTGAGCACTTTCATAAAATGGTCAAAACCACTGACGAACAGAGGTACTATGAAACTCAAGACATATCACCACGTTGGTCAGTATAATTAATCTTCTACATTATCCTTTGGAGAAAACATATGCGATTACTGCAAAACCGATAGAAAAAACATATTTGGAGACGAAAAGAGATGTCATGGGCATATGATTGTGTATAAACATTTATGAATAAATATGGATGGTAGCCAATCACTGTTTAAAAACTTTATACATATTTTTTGTTTGCTTTGGAAATCGGGTGATGATACAACGGAGATTTTGTAATGCACAGACTTATTGTAACCAAATATGTGGTACTGGCAATAGATTATTATTATTATCTCATCACAACTCAGTGTAGAAAACAAACAGAAAATAGACTGACTGATGTAAAACACGTAGAGTATTGATCCTTGATAAATAGAAAAGTATTTGTTATGTCACGACAAGAATAATGAATGGTAACTTTTGGGATCTATTGATGGACCAATACTAAACGTATATTTCTATTGTATAGTTATTAAGTAACTAAACTGTGCATATTCATATTCCTCTCATTATAAGCTTTATTTTGACCCATAAACTATTATTAAACGTTTTACCATTCTTGAGTTATACCCAGTATATTAATTACTACCTCCCTCATTCACAGTCCCATCTGGGTAATTCTTGTACAAATGTTGTTTCATGTTTTATTGGTACGTTGTGGTCTGTTTGATTGGTATATAAACTCAGTATGTTTGAAACACATGAATCATATCGCAGAGGCTGAGATTGGTGTTCTGGACTTAACTGGCTGGGCTAGGCGGAAAGCAGGACCAATCAGAACTCTAGGCTGCTCACACGGGTTTATATGTCATTGTTCCGATCGATAAGTCACTGCTCTCTAATCGGCGGTCACAAGTTATAACAGTATTACAATCAACACAGGATCTGAAACCATTGAGATCTATCTTATGTATCTAGGTTACGGTGTGCACCTCACTGGAACAAACATTTGTCTAAACATATACACATATTTCATAACATATATCTAGTAGAATTTCTTGTAGACAATGATGAAACGAATTATTCAGATGAAATGAGAGGAAAAATAGAAGCTATAAATCTTAATTCATTATTATATAGTGAATTAATTTATACACTTTTTTGATGAGTATTTTAATCGAACTGTGAATTAATGATATTACTTATATAGTACTTATCGTAAGTGATCCATGGAATCTTTTTTTTTCAACTTTTATACCCTGTATTTTGTTCATCAATTTCAGTCAGTCTGTAGAGAAAAGAACACGGTTGGGGACAATTGAATTATGTTCAGCACAAAATTACAGAGTTACTTGGCAAAATAGAAAAATCATACTATAATACCTAATTTGCAAAATGTTCAATAATTGTCTCGGACTTCATTGTACTTGCATTTCCATACTAATTGCTTTCTATTCCCGCTTTTCCTTTCTTGATCTTCCCAATCTCCTGCCGCCAGATATTACATTCCTGACTCGCGTCATATACTACTTATATCAATATAAGTAGCACGCACCACAAATCAACTACTAATTTGATTAAGTATGATATTAGAGTTATCCTAATTACATATTTACTGAAATTTATTATTTTACACTGCATTATGATATAATAATTCAAGTGTATTAATTCATTGAGTTTTAAATGAGAAACAAGATAATTGTGACCACTGACCTGATTTGCTAATGTTATGACTAGAGGTTTGGAAAAGATAGAAATTACCGTAGTGCCTATTGATCGATTAATGAAGATTGTAGATGTATTGTTATTAGTGTAAGGCAATAAAACAACAATAATTGTCCATTTTACGTTTGACATTATATTAAATTGGTCAGTCATAAACATAATGTTGAACGTAGTAAATATGTGCATCAGTTGAAGTTGCTACATAATATCCGTACAGGGAGATAAAATTATCCAGACAAATACCAGAGTAATAGACACAATGACAACATCACCAGCATCTTTTACATTATATTCATTTTGACTTCCTAACACTATTTATGATCATTAAGTTTACGATGAACATGGCTCCATTACTTATTGGGTTAGGAACCTCGAAAGAGATGAAGGGAAGCGTTTAATATTTAGATCCTGATCTAAATATGCGCTTTAGAATAAATGGTTGTCTTCTAATGAACATCTTCCACGATGTCTAGTGGTGATATGGCTCCTTGATCAAAAGACTGTACTGGTTTCAATAAAGAGTTTGTTTCAAACAGTTATTAAAAATGAAGAAAATAAACGTATAAATAGATGATGAATATTCAGAGAAAGGGATATTCCTATACACACACATTATATCAGTACCAAATATCAATACAACCGGGTGGTATATATATATATATATATATATATATATATATATATATATATATATATATATGTCACGAATAAATAAACTGAACTAGAGAGCAATCAATCAATTAAAGTTCTGACGTATCACAATTTGATACCATCTCCAAACTTTTATCATCATTAACATCAGCACTATCATCAATGCTATCACTATTTGTTATTAAATGTGAATAGATTTCTTCATAAAACTGTATATCTGATTTAGTGAATAGAATATTATTAGGTACAGTGTATTTTTCAACTTTTTTATCATTTGTTTTCGATTTAGATGAAGAACAATTCAACAGATTATTATTTAACCATTGAGTAAATTGTCCTGGAGTTGATTTCAGTAAATCTGCCAATTGTTTATCAACATCAACTGTAACAAAAAAAAATATATGTAGTAGTTTGGATTTCGAATCGACCTTAGTTAGATAACCACTGCAAACTAGAAAAAATTGGACGGCCATTTCAGCATGATAAGAGACTCTTCAGTGGTGAGTATCTATATATGCTCACTAGAGATCAGTGTAAGGAGGTCAATCTCCGAGTTCCAAAATATCACAAATTGACTGAAGTTAAAAGTTCAAACCGTTGGAAGTCAACTCAGTGGTCTAAAGGTTAAGAGATCACTGCCGGAAGTGAAGAACCTGAGTTCAATTCTCGATAGGACTGTAGATGGACATTGCTGAGGAGTACCATATTAAGATGAAACACCTTTATTGTGACTTTTAGTTTACAGTGGTTATCTAACTAAAATTCAGTCAGATTGTAATGCAAAACTACAAAAATCTATGGTTAAACAAGATGTGAGTGAATGTTGATGAACAATATGATGATACATTGAAAACTCGATCGTTGGAAATCGATCAACAATAAGAATAAGAAATCACGACACAGATTATTATTCAGTAACAGATTATTATAAGCACACTGTGGTGGCACAGGAAAACATTCAGTGCTTCAATAGTACGATAATAGCATCTTTGTTTGTGTAAGTACTACATTTTATCTGCAAGACATTAAACCTCTCGGCATAGATATCTAGTGGAATAATGAACGTATTTATTGCGAAAGAATCTCGAATTAGGACGTAAACACTTTTAATGCTTTCTGACTTTCAATAGTTATCTATCTGATGTCAGAGTGAACAAATTTTAAAAACTTATCGTATTAATACACTTATTTAAATTTGAATAGTACTACAGAGATTAATCGACCGTTATGCTCACCTATCATCAGTATACATGAGAAATGAAAGAATTTATACAGTTAACGGTGAAGTTAATAATTTCAGGAATCTTTAGACATACGTTATCTTCAATATGAAAACTGTATTCAGATTAATATTGAAATTTCATTAAGTCCCATGATAGCAATAGTAGTAATAATAATGATAATAGGATTAATTGGAATAAGCTAAAAATTTTCATTTTTTGAACATTTCTCACATATAAAACTTAGTTGTTAACGAATAGTTAACATTTTCATGATTTTATAGCTTTTAAAGCTGAATGAATTCTGTCGATCAAATTATAACCTTGAAAATGATCTCAGTGACTTGACATCGAATCAACTAAGTTGAGATGTAAGGTGGTTGAAGAAAATTTATGAGAAACCTACCTTGGCCTACGTTTTGTGGTAGTTGCAACTTTTCATCGTCAATCTCAACCGGACTTATGCTTCCTGTGGCGTTCGAACATTAGTCAATCTGTCCAACTACCTCCAATTATCAAACAAGCTAAATCTTCATATGTGAAAAAGTAGAGAAAATTACATTTTTCAAGAAAATAAAATATTCCCTTCTCAACTACTATTTTTTCCAAGTGTCCTTCTTGCTAATGGCCAGTAACCGACTAAACGTAGAAATATATACCGTGCACGAACATGATCTAATGATAACTCCCAAATCGGACATTTACTTATACATAGACCAGTTGAATGACGTAATGAATGTTTATGTGTTGGTGAAGATGATGCATTTACATAATCATATGATTCTAAACCCATATCATTCATACAAAATTCACAGATATCAACTAGTTCCAATCTTCCACGAAGTAAGACACCTTATGGTTAAGCGAAGAAAACAAGTAGAATGTGAGATGATGATAAAAAAGGATAACGGATTTTAATGTATACGTGATAATTCGTATTAATAATTGAAAACACTGAGTAGAAAAGGGTAAAATCGATAATACTGGGTGTCAAATTCACTAAATTACCATACGCAACGTCGATTAAAGAGAAAATACTATCTTGGAACATTTATTACAAACAATAAGAAAATGGTTGGTTCACCGTTGAATAATTGGATGCAAAAAACTATACGATAGAATGTAACTACTCATAAATAGTATAGTTATACTACATAAGTTTACTGAAGCACATGCCTTCAATTACAAAGCTAAATTTAAATCTTGAATTTCAATGCAATTTCAAATAACTTTTATGCTGTATTTTCATTCGTTATTACTTTTGAGTCCTATATACTCTAGGCTTAGATGTTCTTTATATTACCACTGCTACTACCACTTTATTCCAACTCTGTGGATGCCCATCTTGTTAACTTCCTCTAGTTGTGTTTATATGAGGTGTGGAGGTGTATATTTATAGTCAAACCTTTAAAGACCGAGAGATCCCAAATATATCACTTGCCTGTACTCATATACTATCTCAGCGTCAATCCGTACGTAAAAAAAAGTATAAACTAAACACTATCGAAGAAAACCGATCATATTTCTAGTAAAAGTCATAGCTTACGTTTCTTTGTTACGAGGTTAAGACGAATTCATACGTACCAATAATTTGTGTATCTAATTATCCAATTTCACCAACTACAAATTCCTAGTTATTCTTTATTCGTTTCATGTGTATAATGATTCGGGTGAACGTAAAGGAAGAGTGTACACCTGAGTCGAACGTCATGAGACGAAACAGTACTGTGTTAATTATGAGTGACTTTTTGAAACGATTGAATGAAATAAAACTAGAATATGAAAAACCATCAATCCTTCAATGAATTCTATAGTATTGGAAAACTGGAAACTCAACAGTATTCACTTTTTTTTGGTAATAAAAAAAATAAATAACACAGTTCAATAGTGCTATGGACAATGATCAATTGATGTGAGGTTTATGTACATATGTATTCAAACTATTTCCATTTCAATAGACAGTCGTAAATTCATTTTTGTGTGGTAAGTTTGATTCACAGTCAATTAGGAAAATTCACTCATAGTTATTATGCTAAATAATAATTCGACTAATCAGTAGCTACGAAATATTTAAATTATGTATTTATACATGATAAGAAAAAAACATTGTTAACAACTTAAGACTCTGATAGAAATCACTTGATATTGTTTTGCTTGTATCTTCCCATTGAGGTTTAAGACTGCAATTGATTAGTCTGTTATTGGAATCTTTGGTAGAAATCATTCGTAGTGTGGTGTGTGCTACTTGTACGAATAGTAGTAGTACGTATAAAGAATTGAAAGTAGAATTCTTACGAACAGAAGAGGAAAATGAAGAGAAGAGTAAGAAAAACAGAAAACAATCGAAATAACAGCAGAAATGAAAGAACAACAGCGTTGTAAGAAACAACTCAAGGAAAATGTGCAAATAGTGCATCTATGCATTGTTTTCATATTTTACAAATTCATTGGGTGATTTTGCATAATACAGTAAATTGTTTTACTTTAACCAAGTCTTTGTTCACTGCAATAGTCGTAACTAAAAATACTATACATATGCTAAAAAATGTCAAAAATGATTTGAGATAATGGATTATTATAATTATTAATATTCATTTTGTATTGTGTGTTTGAATCTTCCCATTGATGCGCAGGACTGCAATTGACCAGTATCTTATGTGCAACCTGTGCGGATTGCCTCGATATTATATTATCTCAAGTCACAAGCATTATGAGCTTGGACGGATGATGGCTATCAATGGAATCCAGGACACGCGTTTCGTCCTATTTAGGACTCGTCAGCTGGATGTGTCTGTATCTCAGAGTTGATGAACAGTGCTGAGTTCGAGCCCCGAGATGAACACAGACTCTGAGGTGCAGGTGCATTCAGCTGACGAGTTCGAATGGGACGAGACGCGACTCTGGGTTCAACTGCTAGTCACTATCCATCTTTGCTGATTATTAATATTGTTTATATGGGTTAGGTATCGAGACAAGTCTAAATGGGAATTGGAACTTTATTTATTTGTTGAGGATAATAGGCGCGTATTGGTGAGATATTTCAGTCTAAAGGGACTTTCAACAGTTCAACACTGGATGTCACTTTAGCATGAAAAGTAACTTCTGATTAAAGGGTTTCCAGTCCGGTATGAACGGCAACACTGGAATGTGAGAAATACGTCCATAGAGAGAGTCTTAACTAATATGAAATGGGCATACAGGATCACTATGATAGCCGCATACCAAATACATTCAAACAAAAACATCGTTTATTAAAATTCTTACTTGGAAAACGCTGAATAACATTTACAACATCGTTATGTATAAGATAATGATTTAGCACTTCCAATGATGTTGTAATATAGTTTTTTGAAATAATGACGACTTGTTGTTACTTTCGTTGTAATTTGAATCTGGCATATCGGTGGGACAAATCATAGTAGATAATGGAAGATCTGGACACCGTTCAATAAGCTTATTTACATGTTTCACTCCAATATTATATAATGGATCGTACAGTTTACTAAGAATTATATCACAATTAAGTATGTCTAAACGAATATGTAGTGGATCAAAATGTTGGTTATATTGTAAGGATACATCTAAAGTGTGAAAAAAAGTATAGTGGTAGAGGGAAAATAAATAAATAAATAATATTTTATCTTTACTCGACTACATTTGACGAAGCCGCAAGCGACTTTACTCGCCATTTTCATGGTGTCATGCAAATGCAACCAATGCTCATCTACACTTTTCTGTGGGATGGTAGCTAGCCTAGAACCTAGCTACGTTTGATACTTAGTTGCAACAGAAGCTGCAATCAATTTACTGACATCGATCCGTCTAGGACGGTGAATTCATTGGCCACTGAAAAGTAAAGTAAGATTGGCGCAAACCAAGGCATGGTCAGAGTCCAGATAGGTAGTCCAAAAGGAGCGGCAGTCTTGTACACAACCACGCCAGCTGTAGCTTTGATAAAACTTTCAAATCTAACAGCATAACCGGTTGTTAATGAGGATGCAGTATATAAAAAAATAGTAATAATAATAACAGTGAGTGTTATCAAGTAAATGAACCGAAGCAGGTGGTTTTCCTAGGGGGCCACATCCGGAGACTTTGACCTAAAAGTCTGATCCACAAGGCAGTGGAGCAACGAAAGGTTCCCACTCACTTCAATTAGATTTCAGACAATTCACATGGCGAGTAAAGTCGCTTGCGGCTTCGCAAAACGTCCTGCTTATAAGCACTGGGTTTCTTCACGCTCCTTACAACTCATCGGAACCCATCAGTCTAATCCGGGTGACCGTGAGTTTAACCACAAACGAAGGATGTTACATAATGAAATTGGGCAAAGCTTGCGAAAGGACCGAGAAGCCTGGTGGTTGGAGCATGCTAATGAGTTGGAAGCAGCAGCTGCATCTGGTAACTACCGGAAGCCACTGGCAGCAAGAAGTCTGGTGTGAGCAAAGCAATCTGTGAGGATGACGGGATGCCAATCAGTAACATCCAACGACGTATTGGACGATGGGCAGAGTTCTTCAAAGGGCAGTTCGATTGGCCTGCTGCTCCGGCAACATCAATTAGACTGTCCTGTTCTCCATGGCCTGTGACGACTGATCCACCAAATGAGGCGGGAGTCCACAAGGAACTCCAACTCTTGAAACGCTACAAATCACCGGGCCCAGATAACTTACTTCTGACTCTTTCTAAAGATGGTGGTGACTTTCTGACTAAGGAACTGACGACGTTGCTTACAAAGGTTTGGGAACTAGAGAGTGTACCAACGTCATGGAATGAGTCAATAGTTGTCCCTATCTTTAAAGAAAGTTCACGTCGTTTCTGTAACAACTATCGGGGGATAAGTCTACTTCCAATTGCGTCTACACTATTGGCTTCCGTCATACTTCGGAGGTTGTTCACAACTCGAGAAAGATTGACTCGCGAGGAGCTGGCTGGGTTTCGTTCCGGTCGAGGATGCATTGATCATACCTTCAACCTTCGCAAAATATTAAAACACCGCCATCCTTACTATAGGTCAACAATCATAGTGTTTCTTGACATCAGGGCTATCTTCGATTCGTTGGACAGGACTGTTCTCTGGGATTGTCTATTAAAGAATGGTGTGCCTCAGAAGTTTATTAACATCCTAAAGGCCCTATATACAAACACCTCAGGCAGAGTGAGGGCATACAACCACCTCTCTCCATTGTTCCACTCAAGCAGTGGAGTTAGACAGGCTTGCCCAATCTCACCATTCCTCTTCAACTTTGTCATCGATGACATCCGGAAACAGCTCTGATGGATGTAAGTAATGGTGGTGTGGATCTGTTGCCCGGAGAAAGACTTCTCAACCTTGAGTATGCGGATGATATTGTCTTACTATGCGATAATACCCAAGCCGCGCAATCCTCACTTAATCAGTTGGCAATTAGTGTCCGTAGGTATGGTATGTGCCTAGGGGTAGGATACTCGCTTCGGGTGCGAGTGGTCCCGGGTGCGTATCTGCCCCCAAATGCCCTGGTATGGCCAAGAGTGGGGTGGGCCCGCCCTCCCTCTCGAAATGCTCTCAAACGGCCACGCGTATACAGCCTCTGCCAAAGAAGTCCTACTCACTGCATTCTCGTGGCGGGCGTGCTGTTTACGAAACTGAGAGGGCGCTTTAACCGGACTCCAAACCAATGATACACATGGACTCCAGTATCCTAAAGGAACAAATGGCATATGAACCAATCGTTGGTCACCGGCTACCATGGGACTGCATCTCCTCACGATTCTCCACTGCCTTGTGGGCCAGACCTTTAAGTCCAAGGCTCGGGCTGTGGCCACCTACGGAAACATCCTGCTTCGGTCTGGGCACCCGGGCAGCATTCCAGCCCACACACAAATCGAATGATTTATGTGGCGCATATCTATTTGGTACCTCCTTGTACCAATGTTTATGTGTTTAAATAAATAAATAAATAAATCTCACCTTCTAAGTGCAAAGTATTTATACAAGACTGGTAGGACCCTGATCCTGTACTCACTCTGGGTAGTGAGTAGATAGAAGTAGTCGAAAAGTTCGTGTATCTAGGTAGCTGCATAAGTGTTGTTAGTGGCATGAATGATGAAATCAATACACGTATAGTGAAAGCCAGAGCGGCCTATACCAATCTGGGCCATCTTCGGCGCCTTCGTGATGTCAGTCTGAATGTAAAAGGTCATATCTACAACGCGCCGGTGAGAGCAGTTTTGTTCTATGCTTGTGAAACCTGGCTTCTCCGAGTTGAGGATGTTAGATGACTCTCTGTGTTTGATCATCGTTGTCTCCGAAGGATTGCTGACATCCAGTGGCAACACCATGTCAGTAATGCAGAGGTTCGGCATCGTGTGTTCGGGCACAGAGACGATAATGCAATTGGTGTTACCATCTTGAAACACCGACTTCGGTGGATTGGACATGTTCTCCGAATGTCGTCCCAGAGAATTCCACGTCGTGCATTATTTGCCGACACTCGAACTGGTTGGAAAAAGCGCAGAGGTGGTCAGTGTATGACATGGTGTCGTGATATGAAAGAAAGCTACAAGGGGATGGCTTCTGTTGGTCCTTCTCAACTCCCTAGCTGGGGTCCGAGAGATGGTGCTACACAGTAGCTAGAGACGTCAACATATATGGCTCAGAATAGAAGCCAGTGGCGATCCTGTCGTAACCTTCATTTGCTTTCTTCATAAAAAGTGGCCGTAACTTTAAGTGAAACAAATTCTTTCTACTTGTACCTTTCTGTTTCTCCCATTGTTATTGTTATTTCACTACCATACACTAATTTGTGGTCCTTAATGTTTTCTTTTCTTTTTTCACGCACCTTTACATTCTTTATCTCTTCCCATTCTCATTGTTATTGTGTGGCGCATATGTATCTGGTGCCCTTAGCAGTTGGACAAACAGCAATGTCATCCAGTCAAATTTCTATCATTTCCACATTAGATATCATAGTATCCATTTATCTACTAGAAAATTTCAGGTGCTGACTGTAAGCTGAATGGCAAGCGCTTATATTTGATAGCATCCACCATAAGTATCAATAGCTAGAAACTCATTTGAATAAATATTGACCTCCATTTGCGAGTAGGCTTCAGACAAATCAAGTTAGGCGTTTAGCATAATAAACAAACCATTAAGGTAGATGTAGTGGATATGAATGATTTGTGATGTACCTCCCGGAAGATGATCATATCGAAAGTGAACGGAACATCTCATTATTCCAAAGAGCTTCAGTACGTCCCTGTGTGTATTCCTGGGTGTTTTTAGTTTGTAATCCTTGTGAACTAATTAAATTACATGTCCTTTCAGAGATTAATGTGATATTTGGCGCAACATCCAATGGTGATAGAATATATAAACCGTTTACAGATAAATCCATATACCTTCTTTTGTCAGCTGTACTTCATGCGAGTGTAACATATATTCTGTTTATATAATTTTTTTGATTTTAATCAAGAAGCTTCATAGATCGTGATTTCAATCTTTCCTCAACTCGACAGACAGTTCTTTTGTGGCTAACTTTTTTGTATGCGATGCATCCATGAGCTCGTAAATTCGTGAGAAATCAATCGCACTACAGTACCAGAATTTCATCGAAGGTTTGAAAAATTTCGATGAATATTTGTTACTCATCATAATATTTTGTGTCTAGACTATCTAAACAGCATAAACAGTATATTTTGATGATGATGGACCTTGAGTCTCCACCATCGTTGTATTCCATTTCAGGTTTACTAATCATTGACACTCTGTAGTAATATTCGACTGATCGCCTGTCAAGAGTCTAGAAGATAGCAGACAAACTTATATTCTTCTTTTCATTATTGTTCAATGTACGTATCGATTTATAAACAGACATACCGGACTGCATTGCACCAGATTAGGAAACACACTAGTTATTCAGTAATTAAATAGTAAGAATCCATACAAAAATAATAAATAAGATAGTTTCGAATGTTATCGTTTTCTTAAGTTTTCGTTTTGTTACATAAGTTTTCTCTTGACTACCTTAAACTATCTAACATACAACTATGATATTATGAATAGGTGCATAAATCTATGTTACAATAAAGAAAGCTTCATTGTTTCTCACCATATCAAACACCAAAACAAGTAAATAATAGCTGCCACAGTATCTAATCCGTAAACTAACAACCAAATATCAATACATTAATCGAAAGCGAAGTTATACAGAAGAATAAACCTAATGAGTCTAATTAATTGTAATGAATTAAAACTATTAAACTGGAAGAAGCTGTGTCGATAAAGAAAAAATAAATGAAGGGAAGTGATTCGTGGGAAAACAAATAAGGATAAAGGAAACGAGATGCGAGAATAAGCGTCACTGAAAAATACATAGAAGATAGCTGAGAAACAGAAAGAAATACAGAAAAAACGAAGACGAAAGAGAACAATAGAGTGGAGAAAAGCGAGGATGAAGTGAGAGAAACAAAGTGAGTCAGTCAAGAGATATTATGTTGGCGGCTATCTCTTCCCAGTTGCCTATACCGTACAAGGATGATTTCTTGAGATCACTGAAAAGGAAACAATATCCAGGGAGTGAGAATGTACAGTCCATAGGAAAGTTCCTTGAGTTTAAATATCCATAACCTTTTTTGAGTACTTTTGATATATTAGCTATGGACTTTTAACTCATCACCAACAGTACCACATATACGTGGGGGAAGGTGGGGTATACTGCTTATAGGATCGATTTTTTCTAACTTAACCTTCCTTTGTGTATGAGCAAAATTAATGTAGATGCTGATTATCCAGTGGAAACACCTTACTGAAACCACAATCCAACACATTCGATAGTACTATCTTTCCCTATGACTTTAGATTTTCTACTTTTGGTCTTAGTCTTATCATTATCCGACTGACCTGCCTGGAATGGTATAGCCTCAGAAGACAAATAATCCAACCAATGCAGATTGATTGAGTTATCACGTTAGGAAAATCCGGCTACAATATCAAAGTACCAGATAGAATCGAATAAAGAACGAACAGATAACAAAGAAAAAGAAAAGCACAAGGAATTAGTTGAATAACTGTAATAATATCAATAAGAATATTTCACTTACTTGTTCACTGAACTTATATTTACATACATTGTGTATCATTTGAATACCAGTTCTAGCGTTGATATTTAATTCTTTCTGATAGACATTTAAGAATAAACTATCCAATAATGATTCTGAATCAACTATTTCAACATCATCTTTAGAACATAATGATTTCATTGTACGCCAACGACCCAGTTTTGATTCATATTGACATAATACAACCAGACTTTTGAAATTATTTAATACAAATGGATCGGAAAATTCTTTTTGTAACCAATCATTTGGTAGATATTTACTAGTAATCCATGTTGGAAATAATTCTTCTTTTGATGAAATTGTCGACAAAGAATGATTTACTTGTATAGAAGTAGTCAATGAACTGCAAAATCGATTATTATTAATGGTTTGGCAAAGGAATACATTTTGATTACGATTCAAGAGTATTTTCGAAATGAATGGATAATATTGTCTATAGTGCATATTGTAATGATTATATGGAGTATGTTTTCTTCTTGTTCTGTAAAAGTACAAACAATCATTATATATTATTGTATCATTTCCGTTAAATGCATAATGTCTACTATATACATAAAGTAAGATTTCAAAAATAACACTTTACAAAATCATGTATCCTCATCAAAAATCTACCCATTTTTAACGATACACTAGTTTTATGGCTATTTTTCTTATTCAGATTTATAAGTCAGGTTCTTTGGCTACTTCATCGTCTTATGTTCTATGAGAACTCTTTTTAAAATGGTAATTCAAAAGTATAAACTACCGAATACTTTCAATGTTCCCATCAATAAAAAAAGAATACTGAGAACTCTCCTAATTTTATATTACTCTTGTAATCGTATAAGATGCTGATATGACGAGAAAAAAAATCAAAATTAGATTGATTCAAGATTACTCCATTCTGATTCAATGTGATAATCATTCAGTATAGCATTCGGTTTTGTTTCTCTCTTATGATATTTTATTCTGTATAATATACGATATTCTTGTATTCAAACGGACATAAACTATGCTCAGCATGCGATTTGTTATAACTGAGTATTTTATTATATATGTGATTTCATCCTAATTATTAATCAAAAATGGGTGTACAATCAATATATAAATGAGTGTATTTTCTACTAGTATTGTCGTCGTCTTCGTATTTTGGGGCTTAATAAATCTTCACTTATACCAGTCTTTGTGTTTTTACTTTCGCGTCGTGAGAATTGCAGAGGTGCCTCGTTTCGAGTATTAGTGATAAGCGTTTCCGTCATAATAATCAGTGACGATCAGATATAACAAGTATCGTTCAAAACGATAAGACATATCAGCCGATAACTGGAATATTTGATACACCTGAAAAAAATTGCCTTATCCCAAAATACCTACCAGGAATTCATGAAAGTCTTAAGAGATTTCTAAGCTATTATGAGAGACTACAGTGTTTTGTTTTGTCTATCATTACTGAACCGATCGTATTTATGGGTTACAGTGACTACAAGCAAAAAGAAATAGATATTTTCTCATGCGTTAATTGAATGGACACACACACAACACTGTCAATTGATTCATACTTTTTAACCGACTTTCTTGAAAACAAAAAACTATACTATACAGATTATCAGTTAGATGCTTTAAGACAGTCTGTAAGATATTTTACGAAATCTAGTCTCATACTAGTAAATTTAAAGTGTCTGATATTCCTTGTCTTACATTCTCATTTTGGAAAACTCTCGGTTTTATGGTCACAGATATTTCGACAGTGACACTATTAAGCGACGAATGATAATATTCGATAAAGATTATTCGGTATCATAAACTAAACTACAGATATGAAAACCATTTAAGGTACCTTAACAATACTGTTTCTCGATTCTAAATTTAAATGTCTTCAGTTTGACTCACTGATTTGGACTGTGTGTGTATGCGAATTATTGGGGATTCTTATATAAGGACAAAATAAATTAACTGTTATACTTGAGTTTCAACAATCCTTCAATTAATATCAGACAGGGATAAAAAAAAACTGAGTAAAGAATGTCGATGTACTCTTAAAATAATTAGTCTCAGTGTTTATTTTCCAATATTACAAAGCCATTTGATAACTATCAAGTAAACAAAATGTATAAATCACTAAATCTTATGATATAAACATCATAATGTAATGATTGCTTTATAGTTAGGGAACATCTCACTTTCGCCCAGCAAGTCTCAAGTTCAAACTCTACAACACCTACCTAGGTCTAGATAGCATAGTATTATTTCATGTACCCTCACATAAACAGTACAGTTCAATGTTGAATAAACAAACTAGTAACTGATGGGTTACATAGTATCTAGGCAATTGCTGAACAAGCGTTAGACATCTACGAAAAAAAAACACAGAAAATATGCTTTCACTCATTAAACTTCATTTATTTTATGTGATACATATATACAACTACATAAATCACAATGTACAATAATAAAACAAAAAGTATCTATTCGTCATCATTTTACTCATATTCAATTGTTCAATATTCAATCATTTAATATATTTAATCCTTTCAATTTTGAAGACACAATGGATATCACTTGTGAACTGTGTGGTTGATCTGATTTTACTATTAACCGGATAAGGAGAATAGCCCATTCAACACAGAATGAATTGAATGGATCCCTATTTGTAGCGTCTAAAATCACTTCAAAGGCAGATAAAAATGATGGTGTAGGTGTTGTTGAACTGATTAATTTCTCGCTGACATCATCACCGTCGCCTATCATATAATTATTTGCGTCAAGTTTGTGTAAGGCCAATGTAAGTGATAGTTCAGGAAATTGTGTAATCAATCCAACTATGCATCGAATCACATCTTGTTTAAAACAAATAGCTTGAATTAATGAAAAGGGTGATCTCGTAGAGAGTAGGACCTAAATTTTAAAAAAGAGATGGGAAACATTGTAGAAAAAAACAAATTGATAATTTATCCATGTACTAAGTGCAGATTTTAGGTACTCAGCTTCAAGCCGCACTTCAGTTGCTAGAAGGCTGACAATACTATCCGGATGGTAAATCAAAGTAGGTGGGACAGGGTTCGAACTCGTAACATACGAGTTGATAGCCAAGTGAACTAGTGACTAAGCCAGGGTCTTACAAGTGAAAAGCACTAAACAGTTACATCACCTTAGTACGGAGTATCTCAGCGTTTTGCATCTATGACTTCATTAGAGGTCGAACTCAACAAGGTTATTAACCAACTTTGGGACCCATGTACATCCAGCTGACAAGTTACAAAAACGACGAAACGCACGTCTTAGATTCTAGTGATAGCCACATTCTATCTATTCTACAGTAGCCTAGTAGGAGTGGCACCTTTCGAAAAAATTGAAGCTCAAATTGAAGCGAATTATGGTTTCTACAAATAAACGGTTTACAGTAACACCGGTACAGATTGCTGAAGCAATACTAGTTGTTTGCACAACCTGGATTCTGATCATTAGAGTTAGAAAGATAGTATTAGAGTTATGATGTTAAAGCTTAAACCTAGCATTCTAAAACTATTTTGTCCTTAATTTTGTAATATTCAATGGTTCGTTTACAATCATTACAATCTAACTGGTTAACATATGATTATTTAATTGTAAGGTCAATCTTGGAATCGCTCAAGGCTATCCGTTCGCTCTAGTCCTATCAAAACAGGTACAAATTAAAATCATTAACACAACAACAGAATAACGAAAGAGAAATAAAGAAATCATACCATTTTCTTCGCTAATTTTGATGGATAAACAGTAAAATCTTTATTTTTCACTAAATCATTCTTGAATGGTAAATTATCTTTGATTGAATCAGGTAAATCATAAAATTCCTCAAATTTATGAGTTGCATAATGTGTAATCACTAAAATATTGCAGAGGATTTTTAATAAATCACTAGCATACTCTTGTGTGATTGGCATGTTCTGTTCTGATGATTCATTACTTTCTTGATGAAATGATAGTATGGATGATGATTGAATATCAACAGGTTGTTTATCATTATCACTGCCTTCTGAATTTGTTGAAATACTCTCGTCTGTATTCAAATTACTATTACTACTATTATCCAAGTTTGAAAAGGTGATACTGGCCAGTATATGAACTAAACCACGTAATCGAGCATAAGGATAGTTACATGCTGTGAATACAAAAATAAACACATTGAAACTGTATAGTTCAATTATACTACTAGTATAATGTCCAATAAATATGAGGATTAATGTAATAAAAACTTTATAAAAATCTACGATACTAAAATTCTATCCTCTTTAAAATACTCCTCCCAATCGATTATAATGACATGGTATCAATTAAGTGGGGAATTTATTTGATTATCCCATTATTTTAAATTAGCTACAATATTAACTAATTAATTATCACTTGCTAGAAAAATCTATATGAATGAATGTATTCAGTTATCAGTGTGGTCGTTGAGTTCATAGAATACGTTCGTCCACTTATATTTTACATACAATAAGATATATACAATTGTATATGAATGACTTGATAAAGTTCTGGTTAGTGGTGTTTGAAACCTGGAAATTTCTATATTATAACATTCTCATGGCAAATACAGTAGTAATGGGGTTAACTGACATGCTGTTAGTATGAGGAGTTTGTGAAGGATGTCAGATTTTGTAGTTTGTATCACAGATTGGCCTTAGACAACTGATGAAAACCAGAAAATACTTGGTAGCTATTTTGTCATAGTACAAGACTTCTCTCAATAGTGTACATCCATCACCCCAGAAGAAATCGAAATCTTTAGGTCTTGTAGCGAGCGCTTAACTTTAAGACCACTGAATACGAATCCAATGGTTTACATTTCTAAACTCAATCCATTTATGATATCGTGCAGCCATTTTACAATCCCACTGGTAAGTGTCTCATACCAGTTATGGCATAACTCCACTGATTTCAGCTATTCACTAGAATTCCGAGAATTACCTGGATCCTATCACTAGTGGGTTTGTGAATGCATAAAACCAAGTTGAAGAACCCCATATTAGTACGAAATGGCTATCTAATGCTTTCTGTTTTCTAGTGGCTGTTAAACTAAATTTATTTTATTTATTTGTTTAAAACATAAACATTGGTACAAGGAGGCAGCAAATGGATATGCGCCACATAAATCATTCGATTTATGTGAGGCTGGGATACTGCCCGGGTGTGCAAACCGAGGCTGGTTGTTTTCTTAGGGGGACCATACCCGGAGCCTGATCCGCAAGGTAGTGGGGCAAAGTTAGGAGATGCAGTCCCATGGTAGCTGCTGATCAACAATAGGTTCATACGCCACTTACTCCTTCAGGATCTCGGAGCCCATGTATACCATTAGTTTGGAATCGGGGTTTTCCAACTCCCTTGAGTGGATCCTCCATATTCACTAAAGAGGTTAAAGCGCCAGATATTCGCTTTTCGTCCTCTCAATTTCCTAACAACACCCCCGCCACCAGAAAGCAGTGAGTAGGACTTCCCTGGCAGTGGTTGTGTACACGTGGCCATATGAGAGCATTTCGAGAGAGAGAGAGAGAGAGAGAGAGAGCTGACTCTCCCCACTCTCGGCCGTACCAGGGTATTTGAGGCTTAACTAAAACCAGTTAGTGTTATGAACTGTATAATTAACTAAATAATTATACACATGATATATTGATTGAATTACCAACAGGGAAACTGTATTATTATTAGCCGGAATAATTGCATCCTTTTCTGGAGAACAAACAATTAATTCTTTAATCCATAATGAAGATAATCTAGAACATTCATTCAATAATATTTTCATTGTATCATTCATTAGATGAGAAAAAGAGAAGAAGAAGAAGGAGAAGAATCCAACATTGATAGATATGCTAACCAATAACCTAAACATGATTTCATATTAGTAGGTAAAATTCTTTGTGGTTTCATCGGTAATTCACATTGATTGGTTAGCTCATTAGAACTTAATAATAATAAAACAAATCCAGTAATATCAATTATTAAATGAATAAAATCAATATTAATTTGAGTAATTATTTCATTAAATGATAATGATCTAATAAATTGATTGAAACTTTTCATTAATTGTATTAATAATAATTGAAAATGAATAATTTTTATTGAATCATTATTCGATTTAATTGTATTACATGATTGGTCTAAAATAGATTGTATAATAGTTTTATTACTGATAAAATTATTCTGTAATAATTGAAGAATCAATTTAGGTAATTTATCATGATAATTAATAGTTTGTTCAATACGTAATAATAATAAATATAATAAATAAGCATAATGACTTGATAAACGATTATGATTGATAGAATGATCATTATCATAATGATTCCATAATGTTAAACCATAATTTGTTAAACAAATTAATGGACGATTATTAGATAATAAGATAATAAATAATGAATGAATATCAAATAATTCAATGGATTGGATTGATTCACTTAATAAATTAATAATGACTTGTATACAGATTGAAATACATAAAATAATATTTGATTGTATCATAATAGGAATAGAATACCAGAATGAAATGATTTGATCCTTTTGAAATAAACATAAAAATAATGAATCTAAAAGAGTTTTCAATGAATTATATACATCTTTTCGACAAGAATTAATCTCCTCAATAGAATGATTATGATTATTATTATTGAGTAAATCTGGAATAGTTGCTGCCCATTGTCTAAGTGAACGTAGATAATCTAATAGAGTAGTAAGTTGATCATTTGAAAATAATGATGGGATATCAATCAAATTATTGTCATCATCAGAATTGATCATTCTATTTAAATCTGTACGTAGTAAACTAATAGTTGAGGATTGAATTTGTTGAGATAATTGATAAACAATATTCAATTGATTATTCTCCTATAAAATAAGGAATTATTTTATTAAATAAAAAAAAGATGATTGTATTTATGTAACTGTGCATGTAGGGAAATAAACAAAACAAGAATGTATGCGAACAAACTTAAGAATGATATACAAATAGTCTAGATTTTGAAAGGGTTCAAGATCTCTTGTGAACATGTAGACAAAAAGTATGAATGTGTATTGTTGGATTGTTAATTTGTTGACAATTTTTTTCTTCATTGACGTTAATACTTATGACTAGAAAACAAAACCACAGTGGAAATAGATATATTTACGAAAAGAGAGAATTTAACTTACATAATCTCAGTATTAGTTAAGGATTTGAAATATTTGGTAGTTGATATTTAGGACTGAATTTGGATTAGTTTTTATTATACCGTTTATACATCTTTGATAGATTGTTTTGATATTGTCATTTTGTTACAAGCTTTTTGAAACATAAACTTTAGTCAGTATTTAAATCTACAAAAAGCGTTTCATCCTGAATTCAATCTCTAACATTAACAACGGGGTAATTCAAATCCTTACTGACAATTATAAAACACCATACCCGTTAAACAACTGATGTTTGAAGTGAGAAGTACTGGGTACAAGATTAAATGTGCACATCAACTCTGAGAAATAACACATACACTCGATCAACAGGTCCTAAGTAGGACGAAAAGTGCATTCTGGGTTGTACTGCTAGCTATAATCTATCTAATTTAAGATAATATCAGTACATTTAGTCTTTAAGAAGAAGTAACTGGAATATCAACAATCAAAAAATCAAATCAATATTTTACAGATGCTAAAATAATGAATTATAGTTTAACATGTACAAATCTCAAAACAGCATGGGGTCGTGGAGATTACTGAATATCATTGAAACCATGAACTGATCAATTTTAGACAACCGTTGAAACCCTGGAAGCACTGGACGGCCGTTTCGTCCTAGCATAGGACTTAGCAGTCCACATCCATGATCCCGAACGCATGACTTGAAGCCAGGACCCTTGGACTCGTGCGCTAATGCCTAACCCCTAGACTGCTGAGTCGGGATCCAATGGGGTTAATGTTTAACTCCAACCAATCCATGATGTTTCCTCATCATCCTCCATTGTCTTTGATGAGTAAATGACATCAAACCTACACGGTTGAACTCCACTGGTTACGGCTTCTCACAGAACGCCGAGAATTACCTTTTGAAGCTAGTCACTAGTGAGCACATGACAATTTTCAGTACGACATTGTGGAGATCGTTAAATTTTATTGAAATGATTGAAATCCTGAGGAGTCCCATACTATAACAAAACGGCCGTCCAGTGCTTTCAAGTCGGTTCATGATTTATATAAAGTACTGATATATAACAAGATCAAGAATAAAACACAATAGACACCGAATAAGTGCAAATACAGAAAGAGATAAAGAGACAATAATCAATGCTTTACAAAAACAACAATTCCATTAAGTCGTCAGAGATTCATTTTTATTTTAGTTATCGGATAGATGTAAAGAAAAATAATCTTGACTTCAATAAGATTCTCTTTCTTAAATACCAGAATACATAATTTTTCAACTGTGTAAAACTATTCAGAGAATTTTTTTCCTGGATTTGTTTCAACTAGTTAACAACGTACAGTAATCATATTCATGGGCTTTTATGAAAACCTCACAAACTATCGCATGAAGTTGATTACTACAAAATTCGAAGGCCGCCACATTAGTTAATGTATTTTTTTCTAATATTCAAAAGTTAAATGAATAAATAGGATTCATTAAAATATCATACAATCCACGCATAGACTTAGGCATAGTAATCAAACATATATTACTGAATAAGATGACTATTATTATTATTAACACAATGGACTACATCAGAAGTCAATAACTTCACTGAACTAAATCCACATCCTGTTATGATAACAACTGTGTTAATTATCAATGGATATTTCTTATTGGCATTACAACATCAATCTGATTTATCATTTAGAATAAAGACTTTTAATTCAACTTATCTTAAAATAATTATAGAAAAAAAAGCGAAGAATAGATCATCAGAGTAACTTAATCTATAAAATTATACCACACTACTGAATGAAACCATAGTAAAATGTTTATTATTCCAATCTTTAGGATATTTCCCACTACCAAGTGAACGTGGAATACTTCACTGAACAAACGGTAACATAAAATCTATCATCATTTTTATTTTAATTAGTATTAGTTATTACTATAGTTAGTTAATAGTCATCTTTAAAATCCTTCTCTCTATCATTCCATTCACATTCAATCATAACCTTGAAATATTCCAGAATCGATCACCTTATTATCACTCGACATGAACATTAGAAATATTTGCACAATTTCATGCTGAATAATTCAACGAATACAAGTAGTGAAGATCAATCTTTTCTTGTGATGAAAATGATTATTCAATTGTTTAAATTGAAGTAAAGATGGAGTGACTTTCGAATCACAAGCATAGTAGCCCTTTAACCTTCGAAACTAACGAAATGTTTTCAATAATAAAAAAAACTAGAAAGCTGATAAAATAATACCTAACATACAACTTAAATATAATTTTAACACTGACATCAAATAATCTTAACTAAGTATGGATATATGCAATACCACTATGAACAAAAACATTTATATTGCCACACCAATAAAAATCTATAAAACCCGTATGATATTTATATACCGAATTGGTCAGTAGTTGAAGCTAGAATTCATGCTTCATCTTGTTTAAGAGGCTTCAGTTGGATCTACCTATATCTGTCCTAGTGATAATATTATTTCAAAAAAACACGATGAAAGTGTATGATGAAGGAATACGGAAACTCAGGAACTGGGGGAAGACAAGGACTGAATGAATTTAAGCCATTGTGACCTACTCTGAACCACATCCTTCAATGTCACAACCTACTGATTGCAATAACCATGAGGGCCACTACCAGGTAGTCTTTATCTATCAAAGTCACAGATCAGCAGTGAGGGAGTTCTCTGACCGACGATACGCCTTGGTTTGCTCTCACCTAGCTTTCTTTTAACCTTCTTCTACACCAGCTAATATCTGTCGATTTAGACGGTGGTTAGGCATACTTAACACATATCTAAACTACCTCAGTCAATAAAGACTCAAAACGTCATCAACCGGCTAAAAAGTTACTTCGGTAACACATGGCCAAACTCCAAATGGGTACTTGCTAAAAAAGAAAACCACTAGTCACTTTAGGACAATGGTTATTTATGGACAACAATATTTCTACAGGAATTATCTATTAAATAACTTCAAACGCGATTATATCTTAATGGTATTTTCGGTAGTACAATCTAAGACATGAGTTTATAATTATACTCATGGACACATCCGATAGATATACATTCATATCTACAGAACGAATGATGTTCCCATAATGAATACATCAATTTTAGTCACCTAAAACACTTAAAACTCAGTGGCCTAGCCCTTTCAATTATTTTGTGAATACAACATTTGAATTAAATATTATTCGAAGGTGACTATTTGACTTAATAGGCAATAAATTTACTTTAGAAAGCCTTGTTAATTTCTATCATACTAATTAAGCCTGACATGTCATTTAATATCTCTAGGTTGCATGGTAAGTCAAATGGAAGTATAACCAAACATACACTAAACGTAAAAGCTAACAAGTCCTTGAGTGAGTCAATTTGTCTACTTTTAAATACATATGTGCTTAGTGCATTCTCTACTTTGCCGTAATTACATTTTCATCATCCACATACTTAAACAAGGATCAAGTGTTAGAGGTGGACAACTAAAATTAATGCGATGAAACATATTTTCTAATTCCAAACAGAACCATGATAACTCTCAAATCTACTCATTATTTAAATTTATTTTAACACACAGATATTGGTACAAGGAGGCACCCAATACATATGCGCCACACAGATCTCATTTGATATGTGTGAAGGCTGTGATACTGCCCGAGTGCCCAAACCGAAGCAGGTGTCATTGGAAAATTACCTATTTCAAGTATATTTTTAGTATTACATTTCTTTCTATAGTTCACATATTCATCTTGAAGTGAACGATAAGAGCCCTAGGGTCTTTAATATTCACTAAATATGTCGTAATCAACAACTTCGGTTAATTTTCCGTTCATTTAGTAGGCAAACACTGCACCTTTTATTATTGATCTCATATCAAGAGGTTGGAGTTACCTATAATTGTCTAATATGAATATCTCTGGGTGAACACTTAAACCGATGTAAGTAGTAACAACTGCAAAGGAAAGCCTATTCCTCTGAACAAGTATCCAAAGTATGTATATATATGAGAATATTTATACACATGCAAACATATATCACACACATATACTTTCATCATATACACAGGATTACTAATTAAGAACAATAATTTTTACCAAAAGAAATATATAGACTTTATTTGTTATTTATATATAAAAAGGCAACAAAAAATATGTATTTACAATGAGATGATAACATGCAATTTCGAATACATACATACAGACAGACGAACTGACAAACAGTACAAAAATGTAACTTATAAACTTGTAATATGTAAAACAAAACACATCGATATGTTATCAATGATATATGTTCTCGGAAAAGTATTTTTCTGACTGATACCAACAAGTTCTTTTCAACTACAATTCATATATATTGGAGTATTCATCACATGAGGAACATGCGTCAGCACCGCGTCATTGATGAGCGATAGTGTGGATGTGTGTGTGTGTAAGACACAAGGATGCAAGCGATACGAAGAAGAGGAAGAAAACGTATACACAAATAAATTAAACCTGTGATTACAGTGAAACAAAAACACATTTCCTTTGATAAAAATTCCAAAACAGTTTACTTCATACATACATAAGTTCGTGTGGGAACCAATAATAGAAATGTGACTACATAATATTCATAGAATAGATAAAGGGGGCAAAAAAGTCCTCGAACGAAATCATAATATTCTCAAATTATGATAATAACTAGTGTAAAAAGTAGGTTTTCTCTTTCATCTTTGTTAAACAATACACCAACACCCTTAAAATATAGAATTATTTCAGTAGGTATTACCAAATTAAAAAAAACAACATTATAATAACAATAATAATTGGAATAGGCAAAATCTACTACTAGTAACACTGCAAGATACTATTCATTTCTGGATTATACACCTACAAACACGTACACATACATTTCATTTACAACATGTATGAAAGCAAAACATAATATAATGAGGAATTAACTGATGAACAGTAGAAAAACATGAATATCGTTCACGGTGAAACAACAGTAGGTATATATATGAGAATATATCTAGGTGATGAATTTTACAGTATGAGAATAATAATATTAATAAATGAAATAATTCATTGACGAAATAGATGAATTCGAAAGAGGCTTATGTACACAGAATACACAAAGTGAACTGAAGCAATAAAGTATGGTGTATATGACATGAATAAATTTTACAAAATAACAGATTTCATCGTAAACGTTTGAGTGTCTGTAGAATAATATGTTATTCTCAGCAACAAAAAAAAAGAAACGAAGAAAATTAGAGAAGTTATGAGGATGAAGAAAATAATCGAAAACTAACAACTACTATAAGGAGGGAAGAAAACACTGTTGGTTCAATATCAGTATATGTAGAATTACCAGTTGATAAAGATGAAAAAGAAAATGTATATTCATGTTAAAGTAGAAATTAAACAAACAAACAGTTACATCATCATCAGAACAAACAGACAAAAAGTGTGCATACAATACGGACATTAATAAATATTTCATTATGTATAATACACGACAGTATTATATAGATATATATTGGAGATGAGTAGAGCAAGGATAATTTCTGTATAATAATGGAGCATATAAACCATAGATGTACTTTCTATCAGAAAACAATAATAATGATTAAATAGTAAGGAAATAACTGACTGTTTGGTAAAAGTGTGAGCAAACACTCAGACATATGTATATACAAACATATACGCATAAAAATCAGAAGCTGATAGTAGAAATTGTATATTTTAAACACATAAGTACATGGAGCTGGTTATCCATTCAATTAAGCTCTGATTGTCTCTGGACGTATATATATATATGATAAGATATGGAAGAAATCAAAGGAAGATTATTCAGCAATATACAATCAAACTCTAAAGAAAATATTTCAGAAAGGTAGGTTAAAAGTTAAAGAGAATGCAATCTGTATAAATTATGATTGGTCCCAGGGTAAATGATGATGACATATTATCCAAAATTAACAACGTATTTATCAATGTGAACTTTCGATTGATGCTGTGGATGATGTTGATGATGATAATTCAAAACGTGGACGTTTAGCATTTGGTGGGTTATTGAATAGTACAACATTCGAAGCAGTAGGATTACCCTGGAGACGACCAATCGTTTTACCACTACCACTACTACTAGTAGTAGTAGTAGTAGCACTAAAACAACTGCTGCTACCAATAGTATTATTATTCCAAGAGGTTAATTCAATACACTTCTGTGATGAATCAATTGTAGCGGTGGACATTGCAGCTGCTCCCACTGGTTTCAATTGTTCTCGTTGATATATAACATTACCACCCTAGAACAAAGACCACAATAAAAACAAAAATAATGATGATATGAAATAAATAAAAATAAAATAAGAAAATGATTATATAATCCACCCGTAAATCAATAGAATTGGGACGATGAATAAAAAAACGACAAACTAAAGTTACAAACTTGTATTTCTTCACAGACGATAAACCATCACTTAGATGCATATTCATCAATATCTAGATAAATACTTTGCCAGAAATTAGTTACCAAGTACAATAAAAGACATCATTAATGTAAAATGTTTTAATTGAAATAAATCTAAATGATCTAAACGTTTTATTCAGTAATATTTTAGTGAACGAGAACATAGGCGGGGACAATCAAATATATTTGAATACAAAATTACAGAATGTCTTAGTAAAATCTGAGAACCATACAGTAAATACTTCATTTGCAAAATATCAATCAATTGTCTCAAACTTGATTGTTCCTTCGTTTCCACATCAATCATTCTCTGTTCTTATTCTCCTTACTTCCACCTTCTTAATTTTCTGCCCTCAGGCATTCCACATTCGACTAGTGTTATATACTACTTATATCTATCAACATCAATAGCACACACCACAATATCTCTTGTTTGAACTTCTTCAGGAAAAATAATACACCAAAAACGAAATTTAGATAAATGTTTGAAGAATAAATCTAAACATGTCAAAATTTATTCAGTCATTAGTTTTAGGAAAATAGGAAAATATATATGGGAGAGAAAGGGAGACATACTAGAATGTTGAATATTATGAATAATTCACAAGATGTAAAAACTATAGATCTATGTGTAATTGTATCTTTATGTTATGGACAATTAAAATTTACTGAATAAATAAATATGGTTATTGTTTATTATAACAAAGATAAGTTAATAATTTTGTTTAATTAAAAATGATAAAAATAAAAACTAATAGTTACAAATTGAAAAGTGTTTTAA